AAAAAAAAAAAAAAAAATCAAGCCTATTTTAGGACCTTTAAATTCAAATAAGGCATCTGCCACATGCAGTTATTCCCTCCAGTTTCTCCCCCGCAAAGAATACATGCTTCTTTCCATCATGAAAATGATTAAAGGTTGAGAAAACCAAAAAGCAGTACTGTAGTTGATCCTTATGGGTCAAAGCAAATTTTATTTACCAGTACCAGTATAACTTCCTAAGACAGTCTGCTGACCTCACTAAAACTAAGTGCAGGAACTGCCTTGTCAAAACTCATGACTACTAAACCATTAACTTACAAATTCAATCAAAGTGACTTTAGCAAGCCATCAAGCCATAAAGATGATTAAAAAATGTATTAACCCTACATGTCGTATAACAAGCTTACATTAAGTTTCAAACTTCTGACAGAGAACTGGCTTTTAGAGAACACAGGAGACTTGAGTGAGGGACAGGTTCCATAATTACTGCTATTAACTACCTATATAAAAATAAAAACCAGTCCTCTGCTGTGAATTTAAAAGAACACAGCTTTATTTAGTACACAATGGTCATAACATCTCAGTACAATATATTTATAAAAACAATTGTATGTTAGCTCTCACCAGCAAAACACTGAAAACAGAAATGGAAACGCACTTTTGAATCCCAAAGGCTTTTCTCACCTAAAAAATATATCCTGGGTTTCTGATCTAAAAAGTCCTCTACCCTTGTACTTTAAGGCCCTAATGCATCGTTTTTATCGGTTCAGGAGCTGTCTATGGATGTTATGTGATGTATCCAATGAGTCATCAAATTACTTATTTATAGATATGCCTAAACAAACAAAAATTGCCATAGTTTATACAGGCGGATCAGATTTAGTACAACCAGAGAGAAGTGCCGCAATAACCACTAGGCTCTGTGAAGGTGTGGGGTGAGTTGCACTTCAAGCACAGGCAGAGGTCTATAAAAGGAATTCAGATTCTTAATTCACAAACATGATCACAGCAAGAAACAAAAAAGACAACATAACTATCCAACCCCCCCCCCCAACAAACAAACCAGGCTTTGGCTATTAAAACTCCAGAGGAGAGGGAATTTAGCCCTTTGCTACTAGGGTATCTTTCTGGTTGCTTGAGTCCAATGAAGTCTCCAATTGGGCAAACTCTTTCCCAGCATGCTCTCCTTTGGTAGTCATCCCTTTTAAATCTGGGAGAGGGAAGCAGCTGCTCCCTTAAGGTGACTTGCTTGGAGTATAACCCTGTTCACTGCCCTGCCTTCTCCAGCTGGTGTTTTGCTTCTGTTATATTTGGCTTTTCCTTATTTACTATTTTAAGGAGTTGGCACAGCCATATGGTTAATTAGTGCCATAGCCATGTAACATGCCTTTCCATCTATGCATTAATTCTTTTGGGTGCCAGAAAATTTAGGCGTAAAGCATATTTAAGCCTTAAGGGCTCAAATGACTGGTGATTTCAGAAACTACAAAACATTTAAACATGTTTCAAAGGTCTTCTTTCTTATGCCTTTGGAAATTCTGTATTATACAAATTGAATTCCCTTTTGGTTTCGGGTCTGGAAATCAAGAACCATGTTTCTGATGGTTTCCAAAGAACAAAGTTATCTTGGGCTCTACTATATAAATGTCTTTTGGCACTTCATTGATTCTTTAAGAGACTTGGATTTTTTTGGCAACTTTAAATAAGAGCCTGTATTAAAAATAGAAAACATATAATCTATTTAAAAATAAATGGCTGGAGTCTGGATTTTCTATGCTTAATTGTATTGTGTCTGCAAGCGTGACTCCTGGAATCAAAAAGCTGTTTTATGCTGTAATATTTAATTTAATTACAGCAAAGATACTGCACCTTTAAAAAGATACTACTGCATTTTAAAATAAGACAACATGGATCTAGACACACTGTACCTTACATGTGCTTGTTTTCAATTACTGCAAGGCACTCATTGAGGAATTTACTGACCCATGCTGTCAGCAAGAACAGACATGCATCATTACGGGCTTAATTAAAGTTTTAATACTGATTAAAACGTTTTATTATTGTATTATGTTAAACTGCGCTGGTCTCCAACCTCATTAAGGAATACAGGATAGAAATTATTCAGGAGTTTCAGTCATTCAGTTTAACAACCTTGCTACTGTCAATGTTTGATTTAAATACAGTTTGATTAAAGCACACTTTCCTTTTGTGTTCACATGAAAGTGCAGAAAGATGTGGAATGCTGCTTAATGAGTATTTACTGAATATAAAATTGTTTGAGCATGTGATATGACCATCTCTACCCCTGCAGTAATTTACCTCAGTACAACTACAAAGGGAAAACATTTAAATCATTTGGAATTGGAACATAGCTCAGTTGTGAAAGTTAATCTCATTACACATCTTGATTAAATTAAATGTTGAGTGTGCTATGAGTACCACTTTAAGTTTCCTATCATTAGAAATTAATTGCAACAGTAATTAACATAAATGAATTATCTGAGCAGGCCACATACACTCCTATAGGTGTTCAAATGTTAATTCAGCATTGGCCTAGAGGCACTTACTTGATTATCACTCTTTTGCTTTTCATAAGGAACTACTAACATTAGCAGGTGCCTAGGTAAGGTTGCAAAGTGTTGTTAGGTTTTCACACAGACCTAGTCTCTACATTTCGTATAAAAACAATCAGCTGCACCAAGACACTGTAGAAGTGACATGTTTCCTACACAACAGTTAAAAAAGTTGATAGAATTAATAAAGTTCTAGCCTGGGAGAAATACAAAGGTTAAAAACAAAAACACAAAGTTTTCAAAGGTTTTTAAGTTAAGCTGCATCTTCATTGTCAGCCCCAAATCAGCTCTAGATTCTGAGGGTGAAGAGGAGGGAAACAGTGATTGTGTGCTTTTTAATTTTTTTTTAAAGAAAAGAGACCTGTTTTTTTGTGTCTCGAATACTAAAAAGCAAGGCTCCGAGACATGCTTATGCAGGTGCACATTCGCATACAAACTTCTGTTACTGTCAAGGCAAAACACTCCCCATATCATACTGGCAGCGTTCAACTTCAGTATTCTGCACCAGCTATTGGAGGAGATTCACTTAGAGAAAAATCTCCCATTAGTGCAGAGTACAGATAATAAATAGTGTTGTGAGAATCCCAGCGGAGAATTTTTTTGTTATCATTTACTCATGGTGAGTATTTTAAATTAAGAGATTACCAACGTGCCACATACAGCAACATGCTCCAGCATGAAAGACTCACAAGAGATACACAAAGACCCATCATCAAAAGTTAAAACAGCATAAAAACAGGCAACACACATCTGTATAAGTAAAGTGTTAAAACAACAATAAAAACTACTTTATTCTCCACAGTGTTTTCACTACAAAAGGCTCTGATTTTCAATCAGATGCACATGCTGGGAGCTTTACACCCATACAGAGCACCATGGAACTAAAAAGAGAGGCTCTGCTTAAGCAACGTGGTCCATCTTGAAGTATCAGTTTGGACAACTGAGGCTAATGCATATTTAGTAATGAGACAGCGAGGCATACCTGCCTTCACTAAATTTTTATCATGTTCAGCTTACAGTAGAATATCCAAACCCCTGAGCAGAATTATACAGCTTGATCATTCTGCAGTTCTGAGGCAAATAGGCAAACCTGTTCTGTCTATATTTTTCAGTGAGCTAAACATAAAATTCAGCTTCTGGAAAAATTCTGTGGCCTGTATGTGTAGAGATCAGACTCAATTATGGTGGTCCCCTGCTAGCATTAGTGTAAAAATCTATGAAAATTTTGGCAATGTCAAGAATGTTATCAAAACTAAACTGTCTGAAACTAACCTAGGAATCACAGTAATTAACCAAGCAACAATCAATGTAAAATGCCTTTAGAAATGTAACACTTCTGTAAACGTCTTCAACACTTCCCCTTGTGGACTAAGTATTAAAATATTAAACTTGAGCCACAGTTGGGAATTCATGCTATTTATGCTTAGTGAGCTTGTAAACATGGAATGTTTTGTTCTGAAATACTCGAGTAAAGTATAAGGTATATGCAGGTAAGTTTTTTTTAATTTCCTCACAAAAGCGAGGATATGCTGAAGGCTTCAAATTGGGTTCATTGTCTCCTACGCCATCCATGATCTGTAAGGAAAGTGAACAGGTCTGTGAAACACCCTTAAGTATTAAATGGTTACAAGTCATAACTCAAGTTTTCAAAATTCTCTCTCTCTCTATGCTCAGAGAGTCTGACTTAAGACTGAACCAAACAGGAGGAAGAGAATCAAATTAAACTGTCAGACATTACAACAGCATCACAATGGATGAAAAGCTAAAATCTAAACCTAGTTTATGTATGGTGTAGGAGCTGTGTGGTGTTGGCAGAGGAGCCGTGTGGTGGTGTGTAATCTTTAGGGCTCTACACTGTGAAAGGCACAGGTCCTGGGTATAGCCAAGTAACCTACATGCAACAAAAACTCTTCATCTGCCATCCGAGTTGAAGCTCAGAAATCCACCCACCCAGCCTCTGGATGAGTATGCACAGGAAATGCTATGCACATGTAGTAGTAGTGTGAGGTGCAGCACAGAGTAACTATTTCCATCCCATTATGGGTTTCTCCCCCATTACATACTACTGGTTGAACCAGCCAGATTTCCTCTAGGTTGTATTCCTCACCGCAAGAGGTCTCTGGGCCTTGGTCCTTACTCATGTCAAAAATGGAAAAGAAGTAAGCTGCCTTACACTATTATGTTAAATGCTTTCCTACTAGCAGAAATTAAACAACACGTATTTCTTTTTAAGGCCTTGTACAGTACTTACATGACCATTAGCTATATCAAGTAGGTCACGTAACCGACAGCCTCTGCTGTGCCGTCTTTCGTAACATATGCTGTCCTCCAAGATCACATAGTCCGTGCCAAAAGACCTCAGTGTTTGGTATACTTCCTCTGGAGATCTCTTTGCATATATCTGATAAACCTGAAGAAACAGAAACGAAGGTTTAAGAGCAAAATGGGTTAATTAATACTGTAGATCTTTTTGTCCTAATTCATTATTTTTTTCAACTTGATTCACAAGATAGAAAGAGATGGGAGATGTGGGTTAGAATTCCCTTCAGCTGAGAAGGACCTGGAACCCACACTTCCTGGGTGGTGAAGCCACTAAACTATTAGGCAAAAGGCAGAACCACCACCTCCCCATCCTTGGACAATTACATTTGAAAAAAGAACAAATCTCGCTCCGTTTTTTCAAAACCTACTTGTAGGTGCCTACTATGGAGAGAGGATTCTGGGCCCTGAAAGGACAGAAGCATCCATCCCTGTTTGTGTAGCCAAGTTCTACAGATGCTGAGTCACATCACATCTGTGTGCCAGCACTTCCTAGTAGTTGGCTTCAAGCTAACCAAGCTCTTTATTTAGCATGTGCGTTTTCTGATCACTGAGCTAAGGCGCCTGTGTCCCACTATGTAAGAAGCCTAAGCACCTAACTTAGAGCTCTAACTCCCACTCCAAAGGCCAGGCACCTAAAAGACAAACCTTATGGCACTGAACCTGGAGATATCCAAGACCTCCCTTACATCTGGCCCAAAGTCTCCACTGCGCTTCATGAAGTTTCTGGCCAGTTTCTTCATCTGGCGTTCAAACTCCTTGGGAGTTTATGGGTATTTAAAGTAACAAGGGCCGTCCTACTTACTGGAAATCTTTCAAATTGTTACAAAGTGAAATATGGATTTAAGAGTTTTCAAAGGTTGGTTCTTGCATGTTTCTAGTGTCATGCAGCTCAGCCTTACTTGATGTGTTTTGCTGCTTCAGCAAGAATGTGGGAAGAAGAACAAGAGGTCATAGAGAAGTTGAGTGAAATTCTGACCTTAATGAAGTCAATGCCAGCATAACCATTAACTTCAGTGGGACCAGAATTTCATCCTCTGGTTCTGTGAAAACCATGAAGTAGAGTAAGTCAGTGTTTGCTCTTGCTGCTGAGTTAATATCCATGAATCCCTCATCAAATTTAGTTCTCTAGGGAGAGTTACAGAAGTGCGTTTTCCCAACATGACACGTTAATGGAGGAACTGAAGTTTATCATCAGTCTCTTATCCCAGCTGACCCTTAAGAGCCAGGAAATGTTCTCCCCTGTTAAGCAACATTGCTATATTATTCAAATGGATTAAGACTGGTCTAGCACTTTAAGTTATGTATGAACACTTATAAAATTTTAGCTAAAATTTCACTCTCCACAAAGGAGACTCTTGACCTACTTCAGCTAAAAGCCACCTCGCTGGGAGCACTGAAACAAACATACTTTGGAGCATTCACTTAAATGTCAACAGATCTGTTTTGTGGCAATCATGGCAGGGAAACAAGTTTAAACTTGCTCCATTGAAAATATCCCCTCATTTAAAAGAAATGTCTCTTAGCTCATGCATTGATTTCTATGCATGACAATGGATAGTGTAGTTTACACTAATGGATAGGTGAGGGATCCTCACTCCCACCTGTGTAAAGGAACTCCAGTTCTAGTTGGGAGAAGGTCTCATGGAATGACACCTGAGGAAGTGAATTTCAAAGTCTTTCTAAGGACACAGTTATAAGCCCTGCTGCTTAGAAGGCATGCCAAGGAAGAACAGTATAGCCAATGGGTGGGCAATTATTTGGGCTTTAGGACCACTTACAGAGTTTTGGTGAGCTGTTGCAGGCTGGGTCAGCACCCCTACCCCATGATGATGCGGGTCAGCATTCCACCCCTCTGCAAGACCTCACCTAAGCTCGCTAAGTGGTTCTGCTCTGTGCTGGGCAAGCTGGCTGGGATGGGGTCAAGGGTAGGCAGGGAGTGGGATGGGCAGGCGGGGCTGTGACAGTGCAGAGCCAGGGCCTGGGGCAAGGGCACAATCTACTTGCATGCCCCTGCAGTGGGTGCCAGTTCTGCAGGTAGGGGCATGTAGGGAGCAGATTGCGGTTCTGTCCTGGGTGCTGGCCCCACACTCTTATTGCCCCACAATCCCAGGGTCTCTATGGAGACCGGCCAGGATTTGCACAGCAGGTCATGTAGCTAGGTGGACAGGATGGAGCTGCAGGCAGGTGGGGAGCTGTGTCTGGGAGTGGAATGGGCAGGTGGGGCTGGGCCCAGTATTGTAGAGCAGTGACAGTGCAGGGCCAAGGATCAGGGGACAGCTGCAATTCACTCCTCGCCTGCCCCTACCTGCAGAACCAGTGCCCGTCACAGGGCCCCTGCCCTAAGCCTAAGCCCTGCCCCTTACTGTCACTGCCCCATGATCCTGCCCTGTGATCCTAGTCCTGCCCACCTGTCCTGCTTTCAGACACTTCTCCCTGCTTGCCCGTGGCCACATCTCATCTGCCCAGCCACATATCCTGCCTATGTGGGTCTTGGCACTGGTGGTGGCTGCAGGGTAGGTGGGCTAGGGTGTCCAGACAACGGGGCTGGGTCGGGCAGTGGTGGCTCAGCCGCTACATGGCTCCAGCCCTGCTGTGCACCTGGTGGTGGTGGGACCAACTGCACATACAGGACCCACTGCAGGCTGGACAAAATCATTTGGTGGGCCAGATCTGGCATATTTTGTCCAATCCTGGTATAACCTATAGCACACCCTGGGTGGCCTACTGTAAATTACAGACCTGAGAGAGTCTCAGAATGACACAGAAAGCACAAAGGTGCCTAAAAATTACCTTTGCCACAAGCTCTTTCTGTGCTCAAGCTCTGAGGCATGGGTATGTGGCCCAAGCATTACCATGCAGAGATCCCTAGGTCTGTTTGTTCTTAACATCGCTACATACCACTAACCTGTGCTATGTACACATGACCTAAAAAGATACAAGAGCCTGGACACAAGGTAGCAGCTGCCCAAGGCATTAAAAGCTTCATAAACTAAACCAATTCCTTGATTCATAATTGAAACTAGGAGCAATGAATGGTGATTTCAGTTTCAACATTCCATTAGTGTCCACGTTTCTGTGGGATTAAACCAGCTGAATTATAAATGACATCTAGTTGAGGAGCTCAGAAATGTTCTTACCTGTTTTGTTCTCTCTCGCAGACTCTTGTCCTCATAATGCGGATGATTAGTTAAGATCCTTCCAGTGCACAATTTAACTCCTGCTAATAGCTGCATGCTCCCAGCAAATGCTGCTGTCTTAGGAGTGTTGGACCTAAAAAATTATCGTAATTTTGAGGATATCCTGATGGTGGCTTGTTGGGTTGTCAAAATTACAAATCAGGAAGAAATATATATTGAAGGGAGGCTTTTCACCTCCCTCTCATTTCAGGGAACAGACTGTTTGACTTTAGTACATCTAATATTTTCCGAAGTAAAAAATATTTCCAATGAATCCTTTAAATAATGTTTCCTAAAAAAATTGCAGTTTGTCAAAGAAGTAAAAGGCATGCCTGTATGTTCATCCTCTGTGGTCCAAGCGGACAGGCTCAAATATTCCAGACACAATTCAAGAGGCTTGCTGAAAAATTCTAAACCACATGCATATCTCGGATATGTGCCCAGAGCTAAGCTTTTTGGGTGAAGTCTATTTCAATTTATAATAGGCTGCCTTGGTTTATAAAGCCTGTGAATATTTGGAAGCTTCTGCTACTGTGTGAGATAAAGTAGCTTTTCAAAAAATATGCTGTGATGTTTAATTTTCCAGCAATACGGTGTTGGACAGATGCGATCAATTTGAATATAAGAATTCTTTTTAATTGTTATTATCCCTATATTCATTTGGAACAATTTTTTGTTCTAACATGAAGCAAACTTCTTTCCACCTACTTTACTCTTACGAAGACAGAGTTTTAGAAAAAGTTAGCTTCAGTTATGAAAATTACAATCAAGAAGATTCTAAACAAGAATTATTTGTATTGTGCTAGTGCCTAGCACCCACAATCAGTATCTGAACCTTTCCCTGGACTTTACCACATAACCTGAATCTTGCCAGATAGTTAAGGATATAATAAAAAGGGGGATGGGGTAGCAAAACCCCCACAATAATTTAATGTACTAAAAATGGTGTATACAGTATATCTGCTGCCCAGCTATTGTCTAGTGTTTGGTAGGCATGGTGCCCAAGATAGGATTTTTGGAAAGAATAAATTATGGCAAGTAAAAAGAAAAACAGAATTGGGAAAGGGATTTGTAGAATAAATACCTGAGAAATGCACCCCATGGGCCCACAATCAAGAAATTGTGCCATTCATATCTAAATGTGTTTTCTTCAAAAGCTACTAAATGCACCTGCTAGTGTTTAAATATTTGCCCTCTGAAGCCTTGGCTGTAAATTATCACTTTTCTTTAAACTGAGCTCCATGATAAGGTTTGAAAATGTTAAGAGACAAGCATTACATTTTGCTTCAGCCCTTTGGGAAATAATACTTAGGAATGAATTAATATTTATCACAACCCTTTCCTAAAACTTCTTGCGCTGCCATATTAATCTCATACAAAGAGGCCAGAGATAATATTTTAATATGCCAGTTCAACTTTACTGAAAAACTAGTTTTTTGGTCGTTTATAAAACTAGTCTCGTTTAAAATTCTGAAAATACTTAATCTCTTTTTAATAATTTATTTGCACTTAAAACATTCAAAGCCACAAGTGCCATGAAGAAAGTGTTTCATCAAATGAAAATGAATTAGTCTTGGAATTTACCGTTATACCCCCTTGCTGGTTGTCAGCTAGGACATCCCTGAACCAGCAACACGGACAGGACTTACCACGTGTGCTAAAGACCGTAAGGGCTAGAATCCACCAAGGGGCCTAGGGTCACTGTAATTTAGGTGTTAAAATTCAAAATTGATCCTCAAAACCCCCAAAAGTATTCAAAATTTTGCTGGTAAAGATCTCTAGGAGTCTAACATTCTACTTAGAGAATGCTTCAGGGATGCCTCAGTTTTGTCAGTACTCAGCAGAGCTGCACTCACCTAATCTCTTGACCCAGTGGTGCTCAACTTTAACTCGTTGGATGTTGAGGGCCAGACGAGGGGTGTGGAGTCGGCCCATGGGCCAGATGGGAACCCTGTGCTGCCTCCAGCCAGCCCCTATGCCCAGATCAGGGCCCCCACCCACTTCCACACATTGATCTAGTGCAGGGGTTGGAAGGAGCCACTCCAGGGCACACACCCAGGGCATGGAGGATGGAACCAGGACAGGGGAGGGACATTCTGTGCCCTGCTGACCTAGGCTGGGAATGACGGTATGCCACTGGTACAACCTCTGCTCAGCAGCTCAGGAGCCCTGCTCCCCTTCTGCCTCTATCCTACCTGGGGTGAAACCCCACTCCAGACAAAGCCCAGGGATGCCCATGCCACCAGAAGTAGGGGTCCAGCACACCTCCCTTTGCTGGCTGCCTGCAGTTAATACCTGCCTGACAGATGGCAGAGCAGCACGTGGAGGCTTGTGACCGGCAGCCAAGTCAAGGATGGTGCAGCTGTTTGGTTGTGCTCAGCTGCCTCAGGAAGCTCTGGCATGCTGGGGGGCTTGCAGAAGCACCCCTCCCTGCCTTCTGGCTTCAGCCAGTGTAGGCACCTCCCTGCCTCCCTCCACCAAAGGGCAAATGTGAGTTCCATTTGCTCTCGGTACAATCTGTGCAGTTTAGTGAAACCCACGTAGATTGAAATGATTGCACCTCCAGCTTTTTGAATGTCTGTACCTAGCCACAACTGCTGTCAGAAGTAGCGGTGCCCCACCCCCTTTCAGACAACAGTCTAATGACTAGCTTCAAGTCATTAGACCAAGTTCAACCCTTTCTTGTGCCCGAAGAGATTCAAACCCACTTCTCCTACCACTCCGGAGAGTGCTTTAACCCCTAGACCCTATGTTACTCTGGGAGATCACACACTCTCCACTCCCCCTGTTGAAGCCACTCCATTTAGCATTGGAATAAATATTGGCCAGAGAGAGGGAGAGTGAGCATGACTTGCTAGCTTAGTGGAGAGTGTGATTACTCAGGAGGGAAGAAAACTAGATCTGGGGATCAAGCCCCTGGTTTCCTTGATCCCAGCTAAGTGCCTACCCTCCAGGCTATGTGTCCTACTCATTCTTTCTGGCCCAATAGATTCAGAATTTTTTTTTTTTTTGACAGGTCCTCCTCATCATGGATTAGTGCTTTATCTACAGTGTAAAAAGGGAAAAACCATGTTCCCTTGGCCATATTTTAAAAGAAGTGATCCCTAGGCTGGTTATGAAAGAAATGCTTAGGTGAAAGGAAGGATCTAAGCCTCACCTCGGTCATCAGTGTTTCAATTTACTAGCCCGGACAGCTTGCAGCTCAGTGTGTTGGCTTTTTCTGAATGGGAGGAAGAGCAGCCCTTCACATGGACAGAAGCAGCTGGCTGGACCACCCAGAGGCAATTGGCATGCCACTGGCAAAACTTCTACTGGATCAAATGGCTGGGGAAATCAGTGAGCTCTTAGTAAAACATGACCTGGATCAGTCCTTTGTCGGCCAGATCCAATCCCTCTGTGAACTGGATCTGGCTAATGGGCTGTAGGCTGTTGACCCTTGCAATTAGGGGCACTGGGTGCCTAAAAGCTGGGTGTTGTCATACTGAGTACTGCAACGCCCACATTCTTTTCCAAGGCCTTTTTAGCTAATAGAGCAAACCTTCACTATCTGCAATAGTCAATGGAAGAGGACATGACACATTTAACCTGTATATTGCACATGCAGCATGATTCACCATGTTACATGCATCCCTTGTTAATACTTCCTTCCACCTGATTCAGCAAACAGCAGCTGTGGTCTGTATCTAAAGCAACTAATGTGTTTCAAACTACTGAATGACACTTCTCTATTATAGCAAAACGAAGCAATTTTTACAAATGTCTGAACAAATGATGTATAAAATGAAAGGATAATTTGTTTTTATAGCTTTCTGCCAAGCTCCATATCAGGTTGGCCAACCTGCAAACAATTTATTTTGTAAGAAATGTCACTAAATAATGACAAGGACTTACAGGTCAAACTGATTTACATTATATAATTTAAATGTCATTCCAAGCAGACCTGATGGCATTCTGAACAAATAATCTAATTTAGTTTTGAAGCTCTAAGCTTCAACAAGTTAATTACTGTTGAACTAATGGGTAAACTGAGCACAATAATATAATGTGTGAACCTTTGCTTAATCTGTACTTAAGAATTTATAGAATTATGTAAATACTACAGAATAACTCATTAAAAATCAAAGGGTTTTTATAGGTATTAGATGGCTAGGCTTACCCTGTGCAGGTTAAAAAGAGGTAGCAATTCTTTCTGTTCTTGTTAAGCTGCTAAACATTTTATGCATTTGTTTTAAAGAAGTCCTACTGAAATAGCAAATGTTGCAGTTACAGTTTGTGACACTAGAAATAGTGTGACTATTGCTATTAAAGTCTTGGTAGAACTGACAGCAGACTGTGGAGTTTAGTGTTGTTAAAGCTGGCAAATCTCAGGTTACGCCTTCAGTAGAGTTTGGGTTTCAAGAATTCAGAGAAGGACAAATTGATGAACCTCAGAAAAAGGGGAAATTATAGAAAGGGCTTCTCAGGTGCTCCATTTTAGAATGAATCCTCCTGAAGAATGTAATTTTAGTCCCCAAGGACTATTAAAATGTTGTAGGATTAGCTGAAATGGATAAACAGTAAAACAGATTTGGCCTGTGTACTTGAAAGACCACAAAAAAATAAATGAGGAAGAATGTCAAAATACAATTTAATATCAACCTTGATTTTGTGTGAGCAGATCTTGCCCATGCAAATGGCTGCACCCACAAACTGGGTACATTCTTATTTCTCACATATTATCAGACATGTGCCTGAGTTGGCATGCCACATGAGAATCAACACCTTGAAGTATGGCTCCTGGAGTGTAAGGAAAAAATGACAAAAGTTAACATAACTGTTTATAAAGCTTGGCACATGTACTAGGGCACATGTTACTAGGGTACTAGTTCTGATATGAGCTCTCAAGTTCTGAAATCAAGCACATTGTAGTATGCGAAAATATCAGTGTACAGTAATGCAGAAATTATCTACATGGCCAGAAGCTTTAAGGTTGTCATTAGTTAACATTATGGTAAAGAGACTAGGGAAGCTCATTCTGTTGATATGATCACTCTATTGATATCCTTCCTCATCTCACAAATGAACTATTTTCTTAGGGAGAGAGACCAAAGTTAAGAATTAGTATACCTCCCATTTAGAACTGTAGAGTTGAGAATATGCTTAAGACATTGGTAGAGCTGTCTTAATTGTTTTTTAAAAACTATAGTACATAAGAAAACAAAGAAAAAAAGGAAACAAGTTATCAAAGAGAATGTATAACTTCATAATCCTGCAAAATGGTTCAAAATGCGGTAAGAACACTACTGCAAAGGTACAAAACACTACATACTGCTAAGTACACAACAATATTTTTAGCAAGGGGATATTTTGGGAAATGTATTTCTATATGCTCCAAATTGGACAAACAATGGCTTGTTTATCATTAAGTTGTATACTTGGACATTTCTTTTAAAGTGTGTTTGAATATAGACAGATTCAAGGTCTTTTCTGATGTAGAAAGTTTGGAAAACAATCCTAATTCAATACTGTATATGACCAACTGAAACTCAGCACACTGAGTTTTAATGAATATATAATTAATTCCTGATAATGCAAGCTCTAACCATTAATTATACGAGAACTACCAAGTGTTAGCACAGTATAATATTCTTCTTCTACACACAAATTTAAATAAAGAAAATCAGTCCCAACTTGAGGTGTATGTTATAAATTTGTTGTTGACTATAGTTAATCCACAAGTAATTAAATTTTATTTACATGAACAATAATTTTCCAAAGCACTATAAATTCTACAGAAAAAATGTACTCTGTAATCGTCTGTCATGATTTAAAATGAAAAGACGACAAGCAGCAGTTTAGCATTCTCAGCACTTGGGAACACATGAAAAATTATTCCCATTGAATCTGGTCAAATCCAGTTCCCGGCTGGGACAAAAGCCACATGAATATTTTATGTATAAATCTATATAAAACTCTGTATATTGTACTCAAGGGACCTGAACTATCAAACATTTACCATCTCTTAATAAACAAGCAGTGCTAAATGGCACTGGCTGGTAAACATCAGTCATGAGAAGGTGTCGATATAGCTAAAAGTTACTAAATGACAGAAACAACATGGGCCCGCTTTCATGATATGTCATTGAAGATTTGTAAGATATTTTACTTTTGAATAATTACATTGCTCCTTTTAGGTTACTGAGCAGGGAAGTAGAGCATTATGGAGCACAGGCACATTGCTAAGGGTGAGAGGTTTTTTAATTGCTGGATGACTGGTTTCATCAGGGCAATTTGAGTTATTCAAACATAAAATATTAAACCCAAGAGTAAAGCAGGGGGAAAAAACAGATGATGAAGGAAGAATTACAGTACATGCTACAGACATTTAAAGGTTAAAATGTAGCAGATTCAGTTTTGACTTACAAAATATTTCTTTTGAGGGACATGGAACTATTTTCAAATAAAATAGCGATGGGATATTGCAGAATTCAGAGAGTAGTCATTTCTAGAAATAATACAAACACCAGAGATCTGTAAACACTTCCAAGTGGTTTTGTTCACAATTGTCTTTGCTACAAATTGAACCTGCAAGTTTAGCTTACAAGATGCTAGTCACAACACAATCCCTCTATTATCACAAACCTCCAGAAAACACCCTACTTAACCTTTTTGCACAATCTGTCCGCTATTAGCTGTCCCAAAGTACTCATACCCTAAAAACACACCCACTTCTCCTGTACAGAGGTCCTAGGAGCTTTGTGGGAATGACCATCTTGGAGGAAAGATTCACTGATATGCCTCTAGTACAAACTTCAAATCAAGGCTCAATGTGAATAGGCTCATTTGTTTACACATCTTTCGGAAAGCACCTGTTTGGATAAAGTCTAAAGGTGCATCCCAATGAGCTCAAATGTTCAGCTTGCTTCACCTCGAGTTAAGCTGAGCATAGGCCTGTAGAGATGCACCATGCATATGCACCTGTTCACTACACTGCTAATTTGCAGCGTGATGGTTTGGTTTTTTTTTTTTTGGCACTCGGAGATCCTAGTGTAAAAAAAACACAAACGAAAATGAAAACAAACCAAAAAAACAAATACCACTAAAAAAAAGCCATATGGTACACATGGCAGCAGTGTGTACTGCCAGAAAGGAAGCCTGGCTGGCCAGAGCGATGCTGCTGCCCTGGGAGGCATAGACGATGCATAGGGAGGGCACATGCGCCCCCTGAAATTAGCCCTCTCTTGCTGGGGAGTGGGGAGCACTGGCTGGTGCCCCCCATAAGAAGCCCCAGCGGTACTTCCGATTTTGCTGCTGGCAATTCTGGTTTGCTGCTGGCCCTGCTGGGGTTTGCCTCTCTCCTCCCCCATCACCCTCCCGGTCAGCAATTGGCTGCTGGTGCCCCCTGGAGCCAGGAGGCACCAGTCGCCCATGCTGGGAGGCCCACAGCTAAGGCGGCTAGAGCCAGCATAGGTGCTGGCCCCAGCCTCCCCTATCCCACCTGGGTCATTTTGTCACGTGCCTAAGCCCATGTTTATGGGTGTGCCTGGGGACAAACACCAGCAGCAAAAATATGTGCCACTCTCATTTATCCAGTGGGAAACACATACCCCAGTACGTTCGTACTCATTAGGATGTGCCCTAAAGGTTTATTTTGGCCTACTCTGAGTTCTGAGTACAGAATTTAGCTTAGTGGGTGCACCAAAACTACCCTCTACTAAACCAGCAAGCCACCATATAGATGGCCAGCCACCATATCAAATTCAGTACGTTATTTGAGTTGCTTTAAAATCAAGGCAAGAAGCTTGTGCACACGTGCTGTTTGAAGTCTGGATTTTCCAGTTCTACATGTAGGTGTCCCTCAGTATGTTTATGAACACGGACAAGTGTTCCCTTGGAGTGGTTTCAAAATGGAAAGGGCCTATCAAAATACAAATGTAGCAAAACAGCTTTAATTTTGACCCTGCTTCATCTAAGGTTAAAGTTGGGACACTTAAGCTCACTTGTATCTTTACAGGCCTATGCTCAAGTAGCTGAGCAGCAGTTCCCTTGCCTCTTATGAAACTGCTCCAAGTGACTGTTTGTCCATGTCCTAATACTAGGTAAATATATTGTAAGGATAAAAAGTAGACCAGATGTGCCATGAAAGTTCACAAGAAGACTAAACACGAAGTACTTGGAGGCCCACTTGTGAAAAGAGGTATCCAAGAGCTAGGTACTGGTTAATAGGTGTGTGAGAAACAGGCTGTATTTGATTTGGATTTGGCCCAAATCAGGGACAGGGATTTGATTAATTTGGATCACTGTCCTGATCTGATTTGGCCGAGTCTGAATATGAAGATTCAATGCTGATTCAGAGAGTCAGCAATTCGGACATAGACACAGCTTTAAATGTTTTTTCTACATACCTCAAGGTACCAGGTGTGGCTTGTGAACACTACGATGGTGGGGTGGATAGGGTGTCCCACAGGAGCATTGGGGACCACCCAGGGTGCTCGGTGGTGAACCCAGAAGTGGACCTGAAGTACTTATGGTCTACTTTTGGGTCTGCTGCTGAGTCCATGGGCCCCCTGCACGCTCCCTGGCAGACCCAGAAGTGCTTCTGGTCCACTTCTGGATCTGCTGCTGAGTGCGCTGGGGACTCCCCCCCCCCCCGGGCTCCCCTGGGCCCCCCC